TGATGCCTTCATGGCCAGGTGCTTTTGTGGCAACAGGAACCAAGACAATTCCCTTCTCCAATCAGCAGGCACTGGCTCAAGGAGGGGTTGCTTTGGCTTGTTTGGAATGATATTGTTCATACATTGCAATGGAAATGTAACATGGACAACCACTTTGGAAAAAAAGTTGCAAAGTTACTTATAAAATTAAATAGAAATATGTATATACAAATATTTCTTTATTGATGTTTTTAGCAGCTTTATTTATAATATCCCATAACTGGAAACAACTCAAAGGATCAACAAGTAAAAGGATAAATTGAGTTACATTCATATGGTACAATCCTATTCAATAAACAACAATAACAATTTACTGATATACAACATGAATTAATCTCAAAAACATTATGTGAAGCCAAAGAAGCCAAATACAAAGGTGGACACACTGAATGACTCCATTTATATGAAGCCTTAAGAAAGGCAAAGCTAAGTTGATTTTAAAAATGAGAAAAAAGTTTTTAAAATCTCTGAAAAACTTTACTTCTCTCTCTCTTTTTTTTCCTCTGAGCACATGTAGTTGAATTTGGGTAAGTTATCGGTGCTTGTCATGCAGCGTCTCTTGTTTGAGAAAGAACAGGCTATCCAGGAAGAGGAGGGTGTTGCTGGCTAGACGAAAGGAGAGATACTGCCCTCTAGGGGTTGTCTTGGGAATTTGCTGGTGGCTTTTTTTTTTTTTTTTTTTTTTTGGTCAAAATTAATGGGGCCCCTACTGGAATTGAGTAGGTTGGGGACCTGGGATGCTAGGTGGCATGCAATGTGTGACTGTCCTGGAAAATGAAGTATTGTTATTTCTCCCAAACAAAATTCAAATATTTTGCTAGACACTTATGTAGGTGAGAAACCCATTTATAATTCTCTTATGGAGCCCAGAATCTAAGGCTGTTTTGCAGGCATTTGTTGCACATTGAATTTTCCTGAAATGAAACCCTAAGTCAAGGGCTGATTATACCTTGTTCTGGGTAGGACTTTTCCCGAGACGTTCACCATTTTGGAAAGCCAGGACACAAACAGCAAACATTGCGGGCAGTGTCTGCGGTGTGCACGCAGCACACCCTTGCGGGCCTGCCTTGGTACGCTGTCGCACTCATGCTGTGTGCGAGGTCTCGCTCACACGCATTCGGTCTCTAAGTGTACCCACATGTCAAAACACATATTATTATAGAAGTTTACTTCCTCCTTTATATTATAGTTAGCGTTTAATTTGTTTTTTTTTTCTTGAAATTATGTGAGTAGATGGGTTACAATTGTTTATGAATCTAATTTTAAGACCAAAAGGGGGCATTAAAAATATTTATTATATAAAGGGAGCATTGGGTCCAACAGGACCCAGTGATTGTCAAGCTCTCACCAACAAATGAGTGGGACCTCGTGAGGAGATGGAGAGTGGGACTGTCCTCTTCCTCAGAATTCCACCAACGAGGCCTGCGCTCTAATGATGTTCATTTCCCTCTAAGCACAGGGGTTTGGGGTTTCATGAGGTGAGACCCAGGCATATGCCTTCCTATGGAAGTTCATGGCAAGGATACATGGAAAAGCAAATACACAGGAGGCTGTGCATGTCCCTTCCATTAATAGTCTTCTAGCCCTGTGAACAGCCTTGGCTGAAATGACAGGTATATGCACGCCAGAACCCCTTCCTCCCTGCGCCCCAGACATAGCTGATTGGAAAAGAGGTGGGCGCTTCCTCAAACCAAGCTAATCCCGTAGGTTGACCAGTGACCTACACACAAGATGGGCTGGTCCAAAGTGTTGAACTGGATCAATCAGATTCTCTGTTATGTGGATTTGAATTGGGAAATACACAGAATAAAGTAGTGCATAACTGAAGTTGAAACTGAGTAGCTGCCTTGGTAAAAGTCAAGGTTGAAGACTGGGGTGGGTGGTGGGAAGAGGGGTGGAGTAAAGAATAATTTGAGGAAGCAGCAGCTATGAGTAAACAGAAGCCATCAGAAATGTAGGGCAGACAGCCCTCTACTTTAATCCATAAAATACTTAATGTTTAAATCCAAACATCAAAGTGTTGTGGGTCTAACACAGTCTCTGCCTCACAAATCTCAACCCAGGTCTCCCTCCCCTTGCACTCCAGGTTTAGCTACACGCCATTCTCTCCGTCTCCGGAACAAGCCACCCTTGTCTCAAAAAGCCTACGCACATGCTACCTGGAATGTTCTGCACACTCCCTCTCAACTCTTTGCAAACAGGAGTCGTCATTCTACAAATCCCAGGTCAAATGCCACCTCCTCAGAGAGAGTTATACTGATAGCCCATGGAGATCTACCTCTCTCGTAATCCCCCCCACCTTTGTTCTCAATTTCTAGACTCTTCATAGCCTTTTCAGATTATGAAATTATTTCTTGTTTAATACTTTTTCCTCCACAGTTTGTAGACTCCACAATGGCAAAGCCCATGTTTGTTTCATTTAACATTGTATAACTAGAGGAAAAACATGGTGCTTAGCAAAAAATAGATGATCAATAAATATTTGTATATAACTAAATGAACAAATAAATATATATTTTAATATATAAAAATATAATATATAATATATATTAAAATATATATTTTTTACTATGGTTAAGAAGATCTAAGGCATGGGGCAAAAAATCCTTAGCTTCACAAGAGTCACATGTCCCTTAAGAATGGGGATACGTGCTGAGGAAAGTGTTGTTAAAAGGTTTTGTCATTGTGCAAACATCATAGAGTGCAGTTGTGGTTAGAACATATGGTATGTTTAAGAAACTGACCAGTTGTTTCCAAGTGGTTTACTATTTTACGTTCCCACCAGCAATATATGAGAGTTCCAGTTGTCAAAACTTGTTTCTCATCAACAATTGTATGGTCAATTGTTTTAACTTAGATATTCTAATATAAGTGCAGTAGTATTTTACTGTAGTTTTAATTTTCATTTCTCTAATATTTATAAATTTTCATGTTTTTATTTGTCACATATGTAGCTTTTTTGGTGAAGTGTCAGTTCAACTCTTTATGCTCATGTTGTTACTGAGTTGTTTGTTTTTTTGAGTTTTGAGAGTTCTTTACGTATTTTGAAGAAAAAATTCTATATAAGATATGTAATTTTAAAATATTTTCTTTTCCAGGCCTTTTTTGACTGATTTTGCTTTTTTATTTTTTCTGGTCTCAATTCTTAGGGCACTTAATGTTCATAGCTTTTATCTCTTTTTTAAAAAAGTTTAATTTTCATATACTGAGGAGCCAAAAATATTTAAAAATGTATAAAGTATAAAAGACATTAAGACAATGAGTATCTCTATTTCTAATATCCAGATAAAAAAATAACAACACAACTTCTTCCAATTCCTATATTCTTAGAGGTAGTCATTAGCCTAAATTTGTGCTTTATTGGTAATTTTATCACCTATATCTATGTCCTTAACAAAATATTTGTTAATATGTGCACAGTTTTGAGTAAATTCTTGGAAAAATTTTTGTTAAGGCTTCGGTTGGAATTTCATTGAACCTAGAAAACAATTAATATAGAATTGACATCTTTAAGATAGTGAGTCTTCTAATTCATGAACATGGTATGTATCATTATTAATTTAGGCTTTCTTTATTGTTTTTCAATAAGGGCTTCTAATATTATCCATAAAATTTTTGAACATGTCTTCTTTGAAATATTCACAGTTTTTGGAACATTTTTTTTCTTTTGTCTGTTAGCAGTTTGATTTAGCTACACTTAGATTTGATCTTCTTTGTGCTTATCCTGCTTGGAGTTCACTAAGCCTCTTGTGTCTGCGATTGATGTCTTTTAACAATATTTATCTTCTTATGCATGTCTTTACATTCTTGTGTGCTATAAACTGTATTTAAAAGAACTATAGAGAGTAGAATAATTATTGTTTTCACTCAGGGAGAGCATATCCTCTTCCCTCTGTTAGTTGATACTGGTTATTAATATACTTCTGAAAACCTAGACAACAAAAAGTTCTTAGTTCTTATAGGTGTCAGACAGATATGAGGTAAATTTTAAAATTCCAAAGTAATACTTTATTTGATAGTAATGAGGGTACAGAGCTTAATAATATAATTAAAGATAGCTTGTAAGAGCATAGTAGAATTACTGGGAGCAACCTGAGTTAATCTCTGCAAGTGAACATGTACATACTTTGAGCCTTCTACCTTAAAAAATTCTAGAAACATATGAATACATAAGTACACCTTTCATTAGCTGCCAGAACCATGGTATCATCATGTCATGTAGAGTCCTGAAAATTCCACTGCACTCTTGTGAGAGAGTGAGATTGAAAAACGTGAATAAGGTTTTATTGTTATTACGAAAATAGTTTTGACTTCACCAACTACCTGAAAGGGGAACTCCAGGGACCTGGAGTGGGAAGGAGGGGTAGACTGACAGACTAACATGGGAATCAGCTAGAGGGGTTTATGTTACTTTATTTTATTAAAATATTTTATTTATTTATTTATTTAGAGAGAAAGAGAGGGAGAGAAACATTGACATGAGAGGGAAACATCGGTTGCCTCTCGAACCCACCCAGCCAGGGATGGAACCACAACCCAGGCATGTACCTTGACCTGGAATTGAACCTGCGACCTTTCGCATTGCCGGAGGACATCCAACTGAGTCACACTAGTCAGTTTATTTTTAATTTTTTTCTTTTTTTATCCTTGCTCAAGGACATTTTTTTCATTGCTTTTACAGAGAGAGGAGAGAGAGAAACGTCGTTGTGAGAGAGAAGCACCAACTGGCTGCCTCCCATACTTGCCCAGACCAGGGATTGAACCCTCAGCCCAGGCATGTGCCCCAACCAGGAACCAAACCAAAACTTCTTGGCCACAGGATGACCCTCTAACCAATTGAATCACACTGGTCCAGGGCCAGAGGTGTTTATTGACGGAACTCAGGAACTCTAGAGCGTGGGGGAGTTAGACTCAGAATAGCCTCCTCTGCATTTTTATTATGGCTTTAGGCTTCAGAGAACTCAAAATGACCATGGCTTTGTTCTTTTTGGCTGGAACTTGAGCTTCACACAGCATGGCTTATTATTTGTGCAGTAAACATACATCTTTTCCTTCTTGGGGCATGTGCGGCGGCATTTGCCATGAAGATTCCAGCATTTTTGGGTGTCACCTGACACAAAAAAAGACAAAAGAATGGAGACAATGTCAGTCCTAAGAAGAGGTAGGTTCTGGATTTGAAAGGTCTATAAAAGGATTAAAACAGGTATGATATGGGATCCACTGTTTCCCTGGTCTTTCACCCCCGCCTTCTTTCTTCCCCTCTCTTTAAAAAAATTTTGGTAAAATACAAATAATATAAAATTTACCAGTTTAAGCATTTTTAAAGTGTACAGCTCAGGGTCATTAAGCACATTCACAGTGTTGTACCACCATCACCATCTAGTTCAAGAACTTGCAAAATCATCCCAAACAGAAACCATGCACCCCCATCTTCTCATTTCCTCCTCCCCCCGGCCTTGAGCAACCACCAATTTGCCCTCCTTTCTCTAGGTTTGCCTACTCTGGATATTTGATGCCAAAGGAATCATATATAATAAAATGTGACCTTTTGTGTCTTCTTTCACTTAGCATAATGTTTTAAAGGTTCATCCGTATTATTTTTTAAAAATATTTTTTTAATTTATTTTTTAGAGAGAGGGGAGAAGAGGGAGAAAGAGAGGAGAGAAACATCAATATGTGAGAGAAACACCGATCGGTTGCGTCTCGCACGTGCCCCGACTGGGGACCTGGCCCGCAACCCAGGCATGTGCCCTGACAGGGAATTGAACCGGTGAACTGGCAACCTTTCACTTCATGGGAGGATTCCCAACAAGCTGAGCCACACCTGTTAGGACTATACTGGGTTTTTAAAAAAAATTTTTTTGTTAACATTCCATCATAACTCTCTTCATAATTTTATGTTTATTTTATTTTGTTTTTGCCAAGGTCTCTCAAGACGGTGGCTATACCTAGGTTTTTTGTGTTTTTTGTTTGTTTGTTTGTTTGTTTTTGTTCTTTTACCTGTGGCAAAATACGCTTAACATAAATTTACCATCTTAACCATTTTTAAGTCTACAGTTTGGTGGTGTTAAATACATTGACATTGTTTTGCATCCACCATCACCATCTATATAACTTTTTTCATCTTGTAAAACTGAAACTCTATACCCATTAAACAATAATTTCCCATTCTCTCTTCCCTCAGCCCCGGGCAAGAACCCATCCACATTGTTCTTGAAACTTTTTCTGTCCCAGAATCTTGACTAACCGACAAACTAAAAGGCTTGCAAAAATAGCTTTTGAAAAAACTGTTCTGACAATTCTGGGGGTGGGATTGCACCATCGACACCAACCAAGAGGTACAAAGTCTGGAACAGTTCCCAACTATTCCAACCACAAGTTTTGCAGCAGTTAAAGAGCAGTTAAAATATCTGCTACTTGAGCCAGATAATGACATCACCCCCCCTTTCTTTATGCTATAGAAATTCCAGGCCTGCAAGGACTTGGGGTTGCAGGCGCTCCCTGATGTCCTTTAGCTGAAGAAAGACTGTGACCTCTACCTGTTCCAGTCAAACTACTTTCTGTAGACAGTTTGGCGCCACGACCATTCTTTATTTCAATAATTTGTAATTTATTCTTTGTTGTTTCCTTCTTTCTGTTCAAGATTCAGGCCAGGTTTATTTTGTGATCAGGAATAAGTTTTCTTTGAGATTATCTTGTGACCAACATGGGGAAAAATTTGCGCTCAGTGGAAAACTATTCATTGTCTGGAGCAGTCCTTTCAACTGGGGCGATTTAGATCCCCAGGGGATGTTTGGCAATGAAATATCTGGAGACACTTTCAGTTTTCACGGCTGGTGGAGGGGCGCTACAGCAATTACTGGGTGGAAGCCAAGGATTCGTCTAAACAACCTACCATGCACAGGCCAGTCACAACAGAGAATTACCCAGCCCAAGTGTCAGTAATTGCCAATAGTGTCAATAGTCCCTGGTCTAGATAGATTGCAACCTTTAGAGCTATCTGATTTTGATTATATGGGAATTATTTTGTGAACTTTTAATAAATGATAGTAATGCAAAATAATTATTTTCTACATCTATGTAAGTATGCTCTGCTCCACAGAGGTTCTATAGGCTTCCTCCTTCAGCATGGGGAGTGGGGAGCCAGTTTTTTAAAACCTATTTGTAAATTCATTTCAACATTCCTTTATTCCATATATACATTTGTGCTTTGACCCAGTTATAAAATCTGCCTTATACTGTCATTGTGGGTTACTAAAAAAATTTTTAACACATTAATTTTTAGATAGCTTATGAGACCCAGGCATTTACTTTAAAAAAAAAAATTACCTTTAAAAACTTCTTTGGAACCTTGAGCAAACTGAACCCATAGGCACTCCATTCTGAGAGATTAAACTGAGGGAAATGAGGGTGTTTGCTTCGATCAGATGTATTATGACACGTGTGTTTCTGGGCCGTCTGAAATGGGGCGGGGTGAAAAATCCAACCCGTCACAGTAAAGAAAACTTAGGGAGCTATTTTAAGGAAGCATTGGTGGAGAAGTTTTAATAGGATCATGAGGCTAGTTCCAGTATTTGTCCCACCCGCTATTTTAGTAACTCTGGAAGAACAGCGAAGTTGGCACGTGGAAAAGAACCACCAGCTCCCTCAATCTCAAGCATTTGAGTATTTACTTAAGAAGTAAATACTGAAACTCTATAGAAGTAAATACTGTCTGCCTTTTCTGTGAATGACTAGATGCTTTTCCTTGTTAGAAAGCAACAACAGCATGGCCTGTGGCTAAAAAAGAATTGTTGTTTGTAGTTCTAGAAAAGGCCAAACTAAAGTGACAGAATACAGACTAGTGGCTGCTGGTGGCTGGGGGGCTGGGGTGGTGACTGATTGCAAAAGGGCACAAGAAGTCTTTTTGGGGATGATAGAAATGAATTATACTGACTGTGGTGGTGGTTATATGAATGTATGCATTTGTTGAGGCTCATACTGTATACTTAAAATGTGGGCATTTATTTTCTATAAATTTTAACTCAGTAAAACTGATAAAAAGGAAATAATAAGAGAAAAATTCAATAGGAAGTGACAAATATTGAAGACAGGCAAAGGAGATTCAACATAGAGGCAAGAAGTTACCCTGAGGGTGGAAAAACAGAGCAAGATATCAGAAAAACACTCAAACTGCCAATTAAGAAGTTCTTTAAATAAAAGATGACTTGAAAATGGCAGAGTATATGGCGTATCTGAGAATGTTGGTGTGGAAGAAGGAAAATACAGAAAGGAAAATGAAATATTTTAAGTACCAATCCTATAGTCCAATAGAAAGTATCAATGTGAATTCATGAGTTATTTAATATACATTTAAATGTATTGATTTTCCCTCCTAGGTCTGTCTACTGAAAAGATAAAGAAAGGACCCATTTAGTAGCATTGGCTATCTCTAGCAACTAGATCCTAGTTCTGAAATACCATTTTCCTATTAAAAAAAATCAGCTTCTTAAAGAAATGGCTTTCGAGATCTGTGGCAGTAATTGCACAAGATGATCCAAGAATATCTTGTCACACCAGATAACCATATAAATGATAAAGACAAGAAAGGGATGAAGATGTAACAGTAAATTAAAAAACCTTAAGGGGTATCAGATTTTAAAAGTGGACATGACAAAAATAAGGTGCATATGGATGCATCCTTAGCAAGGAAACTATAAAGAAATGCAAAGAATTGATGGCTATAAAAGTCAAGCTATTGTGTAATTTGGGGAAGGGCGAGAGTTGTCATGGGAGGTAGGCGGGAGCTGGGGGTTTTTTTGGTGACTGTCAATGGTCTATTTACTGACCTTGACGACGGTTACAAGGTTGTGTGCTTTCTAACAATTCATTAGGCTGTGCATCTGTTTCATGTGACTTTCATAATCTGTAACGATGCATTTTATTTTACAAAAAAGAAAACGAAAAACCCTTCACCATTTAACGATAAAAGCTCGATTTTACATTCAGAGCGTCAAGATGAATTGCTGGTGAGAGCGAGAGAAAAGATGGTCTCATCCACCTTGTTTTTGCCTCTTTGGAGGCTACGTAGCAATGATTCACACATTTTAAAATCGGGTGCAGAATTTGCCTAGCAATTTTCATTCTAGGTGCCTCTCTTAGGGAAATATTCACATGCATAGACTGAGAATATAGTTGTATTGGAGATAAAATTAGAAACAAGTTAGAGGTAGACACTGCCCTCAGAGGCTTTCCAGTCTAGCGGTGGTGGAGGGCGGGGCAGGGGGCTGTAAAAGAAATAGCTTCCCAGATATTTGATTGACTAGAGTTAAAATGAGTGTTATAAATGAAGAACTGTGGGTGCTGTGTATGAGGACGTAAAATGGAAAATAGGTGACATGTCCCACCTAAGCCTAATACCTGTTGGGTTCTTGGGCTTCACACGTAAGTCCAGAATTTTGGCAATTAAAGTAACTTAAGTATTTTGAAGACATTAAAGTAATACATATTTTATTCCCCTTTAATTTTGGTTGCCAAAAAGCAGAATCAGGCTGCTTCTGGGCTTTCAGGAAATGGTAAAGAACAGTTTAAATGACAGTTATTGCTCAGTTTAAATGAGATGAGTTGTTTTAGTTTATAGCAAGACAATAATTTTTAAGAACTAAAATTTATCAAGAACAGTCCGGATTTCCAATCTCAAAGGGCTTCTGTACATATTACTAGGTGAGCCTTGTAGATTCAGATAAGACTACAGAAACTTCCATTCAATCTCTGTTACCACCATCACACCCAACAGGAAGTCGAAAGGAAACACTCTCCGTAGGGGAAACTGTGCAATTAAATCCACTTTCTGCAGCAACAGCAGCAGCTGCAGACCCGAGAGTTCCATTAGAACCTCATAATTCATCTTGGCCAACCAGGCTGATGGCGGACTCACCAGCAAACTAGGGACCAAGGCTTTCCACCCTTGCCTCACTACTGGCCTGCTGGTCGACCTAGGACATTGGCTAACTAACGTGAGAAAAACAGGGGCAAGAGAGTCTTTTCCTATGAACACCCAGATTGGCCTGGACAAACTGTTAGCATTGTACCCCTTGCCTCTTAGAGCATACAGAGCCCAGTAGTTGCTGACAGGACACAGAATATCATGGTGTCACCTGGAGGAGGATTATAAATGGCTGAGGGGCCCGGGGCAGTGTGGCTCCGTTGGTTGGAGTGCCATCCCAGACACTGAAGGGTTGTGGGTTTGATTCCTGGCCAGGGCACATGCCTGGGTTGCAGGTTCAATCCTTGGTCAGGGGGCCTACTGGAGGCAACCAATCATTGGTGTTTTTCTGTTACATCAGTGTTTCTCTCCTCGCCCCCCAACTCCTCTCTCTTGAAACAATGGAAAACTGTCCCCAGGTAAGGATAAAAAAAAGAGAGAGAGAAATGTCTGAGGCAAGTGGCTGAGCATCTCCCTCTGCCCCTCCTGTGGCATAAACTAGATCCAGAAGGTCCCTGAGTTTCCTGGGTCTCTGGTGGAGGAAGGAAAACCAGTGAGAAGCAAAAGGCCAGAAGGATTTGCCAAGAGTAGGCCCCCATGCATGAGACAGTGGGGAGGTGTGTGACAAGCCTAAACCTAAGGACCAGATGGAAGATTTGGCTGAAGAAAAGGGCTAAGTCAGTGGGGCTCTCAACAAGACTGACATTTCATTAGCCATGAGACCCAGTAGCAAGTGCCAGCAGGACACTCACTGACCACATATTGATATAATGAGGGACATTGTCCCAAAAGCTAGTGAAGGTCCAACACAGGGCCTTATCCCACTTCCTTATGCTCCTGCCCCAGGGCCTTTGCGCCTGATGTTTCCTTCAGCTTGAATGTTCTTCCCTGCAAATCCACATGGCTATCCCCTTATCCTCCCTCAGGTCACAAGGAGCCATTTCTGAGCACATCTTGAAAATGGCAAACCTACCCCCAATATTTGCCATCCCCTTTTCCTGTTTATTCTTCTCATTATGTTCATCATATGACATTCCATATGTTTCACTTATTTTAATTTTTTTCTGTCTCCCTCAATAGAATGCAAGCTCCAAGAGGACAGAGATTTTGCTTATGTTGTTTCATTCTGATGTGTTCACTGTTCTACCTCCTGCACCTGTCACAGTGCCTGGAACATGAAATCTGTTCAACCATGTTTACTGAACAAATCAAGTAATGAAATTATGATATATTAAGTTACTTTCTCTTAAACTCAGCTGCTATCCTGGGAAGGAAAAGGGGAGAGAAACAAAGGAAAAATGCTGAAAGACTGAATATTTATTTGAAAGAGACAGAATGAACTTGGTAACCATTTTAAACCAGAAAAAATGAAGATTTAACTGTTGAGTTTACACACAGTTCCTGTGTCCCACCCTTAAGGGTCCACAGCACCCTTTCCCCGATGAAAGTTCCTGGGGAAATTCAGATGAGCTCTACAAAATAGAGAGGTCATTTATATTTGTGCACCAAATTTTTAGTGTGTTCATTGTTTTCCCCTCAACCTGTTCTTGCTGTAACAGTTTGAGAAATGAGGAAACTGAAACTGAGCAGCCGAGCGGCCCACTGGAGGTCAGAGTCAGAAAATGCTGGGTTCGCTTCTAACCAGGGTTCTGGGGCTTCCTCTCTACCCCAAGAGAGCAGTTTCAGGCATTTCTCACCGGCAGATATGAGGGCTGAGGTCAGCTTGTTTAAGGAAATTCACACATTGACTCTGTGGAGAGGTTAGACGAAAGCCTGGGGGTGGGCAGAAACTTCTGGCAGTTGAGCAAGAGGGGCCAGGAAGCTCGTGTTGGAGCTGGTGGAACGGGCAGGTCTGACGCTGGTCCTTCTCCACTTGAGCTTGCCCATGGTCCCTCACCGGGCATTCAAGGCCCATCCTCCCCTTTGCCCCTTGCCGGGCCTCTGACCCACGCCCCTAGCCCACACTGCCATTTTGTGCTGAAGGCGCCATGATCTGTCCCACAGCTGGACCTTTGTGGAAGCTGACTTCTGCCTGGGACCCTGTTTCTATCCCCACCTCTTTTCCTTCCCCTTTAACTTCTACACACCTTTCGGGATGCCCAGTGTCCCCCTGGGAGGACTCCCCTGGCCCTCGGGCGGGCTGGTCCCGCCATGTGCACCCCAGCCTCCTGGCTCCCCTCTAGCACAGCTCGGGTCACCCTGGGTTGCAAACGTCATTTATCGTCTCCCCCAGGGCCATGTCATTTATCTCTGTGATCCCAGCTCCCAACACGGGGTCTGGCACAGAGGCAGCAACAGTGCATAGGGGCTTTTCTCTTCTATTAAGGTGGTTGTGACCTTTACCCAGGTTGGATTTTTTCTGGGGACTATTTTGCAAGAGGGTCACTGCTGTCCTCTCCTCTTCCTGCTTCTCTTGCCCACCTCTCCCATTCTTTCTCAGCGCCCTAGACCACCTGGGCATGCTCCCTGGGGGGGGGCATAGATAGGGTGGCTGGCCAGAAGTTCCGGATGTCATAGTTGGTACCTGAGATCTGGCACCTGCCGCTGGCAAGGATGCCCTCTCTTCAATGGCTTTGAAATGTGACCTGAGGCCTGGCAGCCCGTCCTTCCTACCCTTGGGATTCCATGACCAGGCCTCAGTCCCCAACCTCATCCCTTCCCTGAAGGGGTCCAGGTTACCTGGAGTGAGCTGGGACAAGAACAGCAGTGCAGTCAGAATCACCCAAAGGAGCTTCATGGCTGGGAGCGGCCCAAGGTAAAGTTGCAAGTCCGACGTGATGGCAAAGCTAATGAGAGCTGTCGCCTCTCTGGCGTGCACTCCCTTTGACCAATTGGAACATTTGCCACCCACACATACCCTCAGCTGCCCACGGGTACAGCCCCCGCACAGCCCACAGTGCGCAACCATGACTCCTCCTTTTGTCATTTAGGTCAGCTGGGAGAGGTCGGCCAACAAACAGGATCCGCGGTCCAAGACTTGTACACCTCCTTCCACCCAGCACTAAAAGGAGGAACCACAAGGGGGCGCTATGCACACAGAATCCACTGCGGGGGTAGGGTAGGGTAGAGTGAGTTGAGGTAGGGGACGGTGGGTGTAGACTTCACAGAGAAGGTGAAACTGAGCAGTTTTGAGGTATAAATACCAAAGCACCAGCCAGGTGAACCAACATGGTTTTCCAAAAAAAGGAATCTATGCAAAGGCACATGCTGGTGTTGAAAATGAGAAACGTGATGTAACTGGAAGGAAAACGATAGTGAGAGATGCAGCTCCCAGCACCAGCCTGGCTGTGCCCTCTCAGAGGTACCAGCAGCCACAGCCCCCTGCCGTCTGCGTGCTAACCATGCACTAGACAGGCCTTCCCCACAGGGTCCTGCCTTCTGGGCACCAAGGCTGCGCCCCTCTCAGAGATCCAAGAGCCAGCTATTTGGAGTTTCTCCTCTGAACTCTTAGGTGTTGAAAATCTACCCTCTTCCTTTTAGTTCCTGCAGTGGGAGGGGTACCCATCCCATAGTTACAAATTTCTGTTTCCTCAGGGTCCTATTTTTGCTCTTTCAGCTTTCCAACAACAATGTAACCCATTTTTTTAATATTAAGTATCCTGTGTGGCTTCCACCTCCTGCTTGATAGGGAGGTCAAGGATACAAGCCGGTTAGGATTTTTGAGACAAAATAACATTGAGAACCAGGTCTGTAGGTGCAGATAACATATTGAGGAGGTTGAAGACTGAGAGATGAGTGAAAGAGTGAGGTCACTGGGTGTCAACAATTCTAAAACCTTCAGCGTGAAAATGCGACAAAGGCTAGGAAGGGACTTGGGGCCGCCTGAGGCTGAGACATCTGCCCTACTGGGTGGTTCATTTCCCTGAAGGAGGCTCATTGTTTTCAAACATGTGTTAGCTAAAGCTCAATCAGAAAAGCCACTATCAGTACTATGGAATAAGGACTTTATTATAAGATTTAGACTCCATTCAACCGTGGAAGACCTGGGAGAGTAAAGATATATCCAGGGCTGCAGTGGTGAGGCAGGAGATAGTCGAAAAGCAGGAAACTCCAGAGGTGCCTCAGAGCTAAGATAAAGAACATGGGTAAAGGGCAGAGACTCTGTTCTAAGACTCGTAGTTTCTGCATCTGGAAAATCATTGAATCCTAGTGAATCAGGAATGCGCCTGTGCAGAAGATGCTACCTGACCCCTGCTTCATTATAATATCATTATAGTAAATTAGCATTGTGGGAGACCCACCCTAAGGAATAAAGGCCCTGTAGACCCTGAGTTTCAGGGCTGCTGCTGCTGCTGTTAGGCTCTGCTCTGCTCTTCTCTGCTCCACTCTGCTCCACTCTGCTCAGAGTTGGCCTGCTCCCATGTTCTGTGTGGCTTAATAAATCTTCTTTTTCTCACTTTCTGCTATAAATTCTGTGTGTTCGGTTCAATCTTCTGTCCGTGATCACCAAGAACCTGGTTACCTGTGCCCACCTGTGACAGTAGGGTTGCTGAGGTAGCTGACTTAGAAGTCTGAAAGGCTGGTGTTTCTTTAAGGCTTCTCCCTGTTTGAGCTCCTAGAGAAGGGTGTAGTGGTAACCCTAGGCCCCGGTGGCTCCTTAGGAGAGCTGACCAAGGGAAAATGGGAACCCAGAGAGATGGGTGGGGCCCTGAAGCTGCTTTTGCCCTGGGGGCATCTGCAAACGTGGTATTTTGATGGGCTTGAGGTGAGAGGAAGAGAATTCAAAAGCCAGGGGCCCCTCAGGGTAAAAGTTCAAGGAGGGATTCTGTCCTCACATTAAGCTGGGACCACAGAGGTCTAGACATTGAGAGAAAGGGGGAGCCACAAGTAAACCTGCCTACCCTACTCAGATGCTTTTCTTGCTGTTAAGCAGAGCAAGACAGAAAAGCCATGAGGGTGGTGTAATTACAAGCTAATTTCCCAGTGCTTTTGTGGCTCAAATACAGTATCATCTGAACTGTAAAGCAACAAAGGGAAATACAAAATTCCAAGCCTTTGAATTGTGAATTTATTTGAAAATGTTCCCAAACTGGTCATGTTCCAAGCCTCTGACAGAAGCAACACGAATGCTCTCTAAAGGAATGCACTCCTGTCTAGGCCCTGAAGAAATCACAGATAAATTCAAGGACAATTAATAGTACATATTCAAAGATCATGACACGCACAGAGAAACAAGGTGCCATCAATGAAAACGTAAGAGCCATGCTTCTGAAACTTCAGTTATGAGAACCATCAGATTGTGTGTGTGGGAGAGGTGTTTACTATAACATTTAATCATACTTCCAGAAGGAGTGGAGAGAGAGTGGTCCCAAGGTTATTTTGGAGAGTTAATGGCTGAGAACTTTATAGAACTGATGAAGTACATAAATTCACTGATTCAACAAGCTCCATGAATCTCAAGCAGAATAAGTAAAAAGAAGCCAACCTTCAGACCCACCATACTGAAACCTCAGAGTGTGCATGCACACATGATAAAAACACCTTAAAAGCAGACAGAGGGAAAAGGCAGATAACCCTCAGGAAGCAACAGTTACACTGACACTTGACTTTTAAAAAACAATAGTAATGGAACACAGAAGAGGGTAGAATGATAGTTTCAGTATGCTAAGATAAAGCATTTGTCTAGCTGGAGCTATATAACCAGAAAAAAAATCTTGTAAGAATCAGGGTAAAATAAAGACATTGCTCAGCAAACAAAAACTGATCAAGACTGGTACCAACACATCTTTACTAAAAGAAACATTAGAAGATGTGCTTTATGCAGAAGGAAAAATAATCTTGTGTGAATGGTCTTATGTTCAAGAAGAAATTTAGCAAATAAAATGATATGTTTAAGAATAAGCCTAAACTATATAAAAACAACCTCTGTGTCCATGAACAGAAAATTAGGTAAGGAAGATGCGGTGCATATATATACACAAGGGCATATTACCCAGCCATACAAAGAATGAAACTTTGCCATTTGCCACAATATGGGTGGACCGAGAGGATATTATTCTAAGTAAAAGAAATCAGAGAGAGAAGGACAAATACCTTATGATTTCACTTATAAGTGGAATCTAAAAAAAAGAAAACAACCAACCAACAAAACACAACTAAAACAGACTCAGAGAGAACAAACTGATGGCTGTCAGAAGAGAAGAAGGTGGGGGAATCTTAGACACAAAAAAGGCGCAATCTTAGAACATGGGCAAAGAAAATCAGGAAATATGTAAAAATGTTAACACTTTGTGACTAAATTGAGTTTAATCCAGGAATGCAGGTTTGATTTAAAATTAATAGTTTTGGGTTAAATATCAAATATAAAAATTAATAGCATTTTTAGACCTCAGAAGTAAAAAGAAAATATAATTAAAAAAAACACACTATGGAAATTTTGGGTAAAAATGGTGGGTAACATACACACATCTTTAATCGTTCACATCCAAAATCCCACCTAAAGTATAGCAACTACACAGTTTTTTAATGATTATGTAGATTTTATTATTTTAATTTTAAATTATTTATTCATTATTTTTTATTGAATTTATTGGGGTGACATTGGTTAATAAAATTATATGGGTTTCAAGTGTACAACTCTATAGCGCATCATCTGTATATTGTATTGTGTGTTCACACTCCAAGTCAAGTCTCCCTCTCTCGCCACGTATCCCCCCTTTACCGTCTTATACCTCCCTCTCTCTGCTTTCCTCTGGCAATCACCACAGATACTGTTACCTGTGCCTGTGATTTTCTTTTCTTAATTCTTTCACCATTTCCTCTTAGCCTTCAAACTCCTTCCCCTCTAACAGCCATCAGTCTGTTCTCTGTATCTATGAATCTATTTCTTTTTTGTTAGCTTACTTTATTCATTAGATTCCACATGTAGGTGAAATCGTATGGTATTTATCCTTCACTGACTGGCTTATTTCACTTAGCTTAATACTCTCCAGGTCCATCCATGCTGTTGCAAGGGGTAAGATTGCCTTCTTTTTTATAGCCGAGGAGTAGTCCATTTTATAGATGTACCACAGCTTTTTTATCCACTTATCTACTGCTGGCACTGGAGCTGCTTCCAAATCTTGGCTATTGTAAATAACACTGCAATGAACATAGGGTTGTATATATTCTTTTGAATCAGTGTTTCATGTTTCTTCAGATATATTCGCAGAAGAGCAATCACTGGGTAATAAGACAATTCCATTTTTAATTTTTTGAGGTAACTCTATACTGGTTTCCATAGTGGTTGCACAATCTGCATTCCCACCAACAGTGCACAAGGGCACCCTTTTCTCCACATCCTTGCCAACATTTGTTTTTTGTTGATTTATTGATCATGGCCATTCTGACAGGTGTGAGGTGGTATCTCATTGTAGTTTCAATTTGCATTTCTCTGATGATCAGTGACGTTGAGCATTTTGTCATATGTCTATTAGCCATCTGTATGTCTTTTTTGGAAAAGTGTCTATTCAGGTCCTTTGCTCATTTTTAATAGGATTTCTGTTGGGGGTTTTTTTGGTGTTGAGTTTTATTAGTTCTTTATAAATTTTGATATTAACCCCTTATCAGATGTATCATTGGTGATGATGTTCTCCCATTCAGTGGGTTGTATTTTCATTTTGTTGATGGTTATATTTTCATTTCATTTCCTTTGCTGTGCAAAACCTTTTTAATTTGGTGCAGCCCCATTTGTTTATTTTTATTTTCCCTTACCCAAGATGATATATCAGAAAAAATATTGCTATGAGAAATGTCCAA